GCCGCAGCAATGGCGCCTTTTGCACCCGGCTCCCGTGTCTGGGCGCCTGGTTTCTGATTACTCAGTGAGGGACTTTCACCTCAGTGAGGGACCTTCACCTCATTGAGGGACCCTGTGCGTCTCCCCGCAAGCCTAGGTCTCGGGCGCGGGGACCTGGGCAGCCATGATCCCGATCCGCGTTTGCTTTTCCAGCGCACCGCTTTTCCGCACAAGCTTACCGGCCGGCCTGGGCTGTGTGCGGGTCTCCCGCGGTCTCTGCTGTTCTCTAATGGCGCCTGGAGCTCACCGCCGCGCGAATCCTGCAGGGTTCTCCACAGCTCCCGTTCACGGGGTGTGGTGGCTGCAATAGTTCCTTTCCACTCACAGTCCCGCTTCCTGCGTAGTTTGTTCTTGTTGGTCGTTTTAGTGTGTTGTTTTCCTCCTCTCTGTGGGTCGGAGAGTGCTGACTCTGTAGGTGGGGGAGGGGAGCAGGGTTCTGCACTTCCCTCCCTTCTCGTCCTCTTTTATGGCCACTTTCTTCTTCGGGCAGTTTGCTGGAGTCGTCCGTTTATCTTCCGTGTCCCAGTTCTCACTGGGACCTGCCGCTTTTCCTCCCTATTAACTTTTTTTAATGGGAGATCTTACTCGCAGCGTCTCCTCGCCGCCATGTTGCTCCGCCCCTCTCATCATAGTAATTTTAAATCTAGTTACTTAAGAACTTTTTAGGAGGCAATTAGTAAAATAATATTCCTAAATAGTATATTGACTTGGTCTCCTTTTACCTTTACTAGACTCTTTCTAACAGGTATATCTTTGACTGAGGTAGATAAATGTTCATCTGTTTGACCTTTAATGTCTACATACAAATTGTATTTCTTCCAAAATTAGTATTTATAAAATAGCTTTTTTATTGCTAACATTATACTTATTCAGTGTAGATGATATGAATCAGGAGTCAATGAAATCTTTTTAAAAGTACACATAGTAAATATTTAAACTCTGAAGGCTGTATGTGTTTCCCAACTGTAAACGCTCTTCTTCCAATGGGAAAATAACTATAACAATATGTAAATGAACTGGGGTAGATAAATTTTATTTACTAAAACAGGCCACAGACTGGGTTTATTCCTGGGAATGGGATCCCCTAGAATTGGCCTTTAGAAGTAGTCTCACCATCCAAAGATAGTAGCTGTTATATCAGATTTTTGCAGTTATATGTATTTTATAAGAATTATGTACCAAAAAATTGCATTATGCCTGCTTAATTAATGTAGGGGTTTTTTTGTTTTTGCCTGATAATGTATATTGTGAATACCTTCTCAAACTCTTAAATATTCCTTGAGAATTTTTTTTATAATTACATAAAATTGTATTTATAGATATCCTATAATTTATTCAAATGCTACCTTACATTCAGTTTTCTCCTTCCCAATATTTTATTATTATAAACATGTCAGTGTAGTTGTCTTTTTTTAACATCTTTCTCATTATAATTACTTCCTTAAGATAAATTTTATCAGTGTAATTGCTGATTTAAAAGTTGTGTAGGTTTTTGAGGTGCTTTTTATATATTCCCATGTTATCTTCTCAGAAAGAGTGTATCAGTTTTTTTAAAATGCAACTGACAATATATGAGTGTTCTTTCTTGTGTGTTTTGCTAAGTCTAAGAATTATCATTTAAACTTTTTTGTTTTGCTAACTTAATGGGTAGAAGATAATGTATTTGTTTTAATTACCATTTATTTGATTGCTAGTGAGTATGACTATTTTATATACTTATCCATCTATATTTTCTGTTCTGTGAATTGCTTGTTTATATTCTTTGCTCATTGTCAGTTAGTCTTTTTCTTACTGATTTTCTTTAAAGTCAGTAAAGCATTTTTTATAAATTAATGATTTTAGCTCTTTTTACCCAATGTATCATTAACATTTTAATGATTATATATTGATTTTTTCCTATCAGGCTTTTAATTTTTTCACATTGAAATTCATCCAAAATTTGATTCTAATATTTTTTTCTTAATAGTTTTTACAAACAAAATATGAGTTCTCATGACATGAATTCATTAGGCTGCAGCTCCACTTGTCAGTTTTAACAACAACATAGTATTTATTTTAGGAATTTGTTCATCTGTTTCATATGTTTGGACTGTTACAACGAAAGTACTGTTGGCTGAGTGGCTTAAACAACATACATTTATTTCTTACAGTTCTGGAGCATGGGAAATCTAACATCAAGATTCTGGCAGATTCTATGTCCAGTCAGGTCCCATTTCCTGATTCATAGATAGATGTAGTCTTTCTGTGTTCCTCACAAGGCAGAATGGGCAAGAGAATTTTCTTGGCCTCTTTTTTGTAAGGGCATTCATTCACATTCATGAGGACTCTACCCTCATAGCCTAATCATCCTCCAAAATCCCCACCTCCAACTACTATCACACTTGGCATTAGGATGCAACATGAATTTTGGATAACATTAACATAAACATTTAGTCCATTGCACCATCAGTGTATGACAGATACAGGGACACAGAGATGAAATTTATATCATCCATCTCCTCCCCCTGGTAGGAGAAAACCTACCAGTTATCAATGACCTCAGTATGGTAGGTGTTAGGGGAAAGTAATGTACAGAGACTCTGAAGACAAAGGGAAAGCTCTTGGTCCAGTGAAGTAGGAACCAATGTGTCATGGGGAAGATATTAGGGAGACATTCTAACTGAAGATGTACTTGAGCTGAGTCTTGTAGCAAATGGAGCTGTCATACAGGTGAACTAATGGTAAGCAGAGGCATAAAACTGGCACTTAGTAAGATCAGCTTGGAATGGCTAGATAGTAAAATCTTCATGGGGAAGTATTAGGAGATGAAGCAGGGGTCATAGTGTCTGCTTAGCCATTGGAAGGGTTTAGGTTTATTAATGTGATGGAAGACCACTAATTTTTTTTTAAAGTTTAATTTTTTTTTTAATTTTTTATTTATTTATACAAGCACTGGGTACAGTCAGAAACGCAGAAGGGTGAGAAAATTCACCAGAGCCAGAGGGGAGAGCAGAGCAGGCAGACTGAGGAAGTACACTGCTGAGGGGAGCAGCGGGCAGTAGGAGAGGTCTGTGCACCATGTGGGACCCTCGCCCGGTGGCCGGGGATTGAACCGGTGCTGCAGAGGCTGCGGGCAGCTTCGCAACCCAGCGCTCAACCGCTGCACCACCCGGGAGGCCCACTAATTTTTTTTTTTTTTTTAAGGCATAGTCAGTAATTGTTCAGTATCACAGCTTTCACCCAGAGGCATATGCAACAAATAAGTTTCTTTTTTTTTTTTTCTTTCTCACTGAAGGCATGTTAAGTAGGGAGTAATATGATGAGGTTTGTAGGTTAAATAGATTCTGGCAGTCATTGAATTGGAGCAGAATCAGAATGGAGGCAAGGAGAACAGTTAAAGACTATTAATTTTCTATTGCTGAACAAAATATTACTATAAAATTGACACCTTCAAACAACTCAGATTTATGACCTTACAGTCTGGTGCTGTTGAGTTGTCACAATGATTGGAGGGCACTACTGGCGCTTAGTGGACTGTGCTAGGGACTCTGGACTTCCTGCTGTGCACAGCACCATAGGCACAAGCAAGCCCAACATTTCAGTGGCACCTCTGCAAAGAAATAGAGTGCCAGGGGTCTCTTTCAGTCTCCGTGCTCCCTTAGTCACCAAGTTTATTCAACTCTCTCCTTGTAAATATCTAGAATCAAATTTTTATTTCTCCCTTTTCATAGCCACTGCCTTAATTGAGGTTCTCTCTGCTTCCTAATTGGACTATTACAATAACTTCCTATCTTGATAGTCTGCCCCACCTCTTCTCCATTGGCTACTAGAGCCATGGCTCTTAAGACACTTTATTCTGTCATTTTCCGTTGCCTGTAGATAAAGTCGAAGTTTCATAAAATTGCAAACGAAAAAGATAAAAAGCCCTTCCATTGAGATTTGGCACTAATCCAATTTTTTTACCTCTATGTATCTTCAACTAGAGACTGTACTACAAATCTTCCTTTTTTTTTTTTAACTCTTGTGTATATCAATGTGCTATTCCCTTTGTTTAGTCTATCATTTCCCTTTCCCACCAAAAGAAAGCCTTTCTTTGAAGAATCTTTTGTCTTCTATTCTACTAACATAGTCTGTCCTCTCTCCTGAGCTCCAAAAGAATGTAGTGCACATTTTGCTGTTGCATTTATCTAGCTGGGCTGTAGCATTTATTTGCATGTTTATTTCCCCCTCTAACCTGTGAGTACATCTCAAACGAAACTCTTCTTTATTTCTAACACCCCAGATAGTAGTAGAATTAATAGTTTTTCTGTTTCCCTAGTTTTGCTTTCTATAATAGAAACCTTAGAATCTAGTATGGTTATATCAGTAATTAATCTGAGCCACGGACTGGGAAATCACTGTGGATACCCTTTAAGCGTTATATGATTTTTTTTAATTGCTGTTGAGTAAAATGGGATACTCTGTGATATAGTATATTGGTGTTAAAAGTGTTCAAACTTGATATTTATTAGTAGGCCTACCATGCACCTTTGCTGACATTTGAGGTTTGTGACATTTCTGCACGTTCTTTCTTGACTGGAAAGCTTAAGTGATTGACAGTAAAGAGCAATTAATAATTTTCTAAGTAAAACATTTTCAGCATTTCTGCCTTTCTTACTTCCCAGATGAGAATATAGCCTGTTCTTTTGTGTTCCAAAAATGATTTCAGTTTTTTGGTCAGTTTGAAAACAAATGTCACTTTCCTGAATTTTGCAAGATTTGCAGAAGGGGAATTTTTGAGTCTTGTTTGTTACTTGGTAGGTGCCATATTTGCTTTTATTTGACAGTTATCTAAATTTTTTTTTTCATGTGAAGCATACCCTTTCAAGTGCCTGGTTATATTGCATACTGACTGAGTGCTATCTGTACCATCCAGCAGAAAAAATATTAGAATTAATAACTATCTTTATCACTACCTGTTTTTATTTCCTTTTGCAAAATAGGCGAGTGTTGTGCATAAAGGAAGTTGAAATCCTAGGCCATATGTCCACAGACTGGCAGTATCCATTTGAAGATTTTGTATTTCCTCCTAGTGTCAGTGAAAATCTGCTAAAAATTTCGGTTAAGGTAAGAAACTATGAGTCATTCCTTCAGAGCAAAGAATTTATTAATTGAGTGAGAACCAGTTTTCTGACTTTGTTTTATAGTTAGCTGCTTCATAAAATGTTTGAAGGCTCATTATTATATGCTGAGATGCAATGAAAGATACAGTCTTTTTTTGTATGTACTGCACTTAAGATTTATGTATTTATTTATTTATACAAGCACTGGATACAGTGAGAAGCGCTGGAGGGTGAGAGAATTCACCAGAGCCAGAGTGGGGAACAGAACAGGCAGACTGACGAAATATACTGCTGAGGGGAGCAGCGGGCATGGCAGGAGAGGTCTGTGCGCCATGTGGGATACCCGCGCCGGTAGCCGGGTATCAAACCGACGCTGCAGAGGCTGTGGGCAGCTTTGCAGCCCAGCAATCAACTGCTGCGCCGCCAGGGGAGGCCCTGTACTGCACTTTATTCTGACAGTCTTTGATTGCATCAAGTACAAGATCCAGTCTAGCCATGAGAGTTAGGGTGCTGGGTGTGCCCGGTGGCCTAGGGATTAAGTTTCAGTGCTATCATCACCTCTACAGCCTGAGTTACATCCCTGGACAGAGAGCTAACCCATGTATGGCAGGAGCAGACCTATCCTGTCTTGCCCACTACTCCCCTTAGCAGTGTATTTCAGTAAATCCACCTGCTCTGCTCCCCACTCTCTCTCTGGTAAATCCTCTTACCCCCTTACCGCTGGCACACCCAAGTTCTTCTACACCAAAAAAAAAAAAAAAGAAAAGAAAAAGAAAAAAGAGTTAGGTGCTAATACTTCCTTTTTGGTTGGCTAAAGCAGTAGTAAATAGGAGATTTTGTTTTACCTCACATGGATACCTATTTTGCTACTAGATACTATAGATACTTCTGACAACATTACTTCTTTGCTGTTTTTTAGGAGATAATTAGGAATATTATGTCTTAAATAGTCATGTTTTGTAACACTTAAAGTTATTGAATGCTAATATAATTTAAGTATGTAATAATGTTTTCATATCTTCCCTCTGCATCATTTTCTAAGGAAGAACATTTAATTGCATAATGAATAATTAGCAAAAATGATACTCCATCTCTTGCTTAGTTCCTAGACTCCCTTTACTTTGAAATACACAATTTTTATTTGATACAATTTTTTAAGAAGATTTATTTATTTATGCATACAAGAGCTGGGGCACAGGCCAGAGATTCTGGGGGGTTAGAGGGGGAGAGGATCCACCAGAGACTGAGTGGGGAACAGAACAGGCAGATTGACTGAAATACACTGCTGAGGGGAGCAACAGGTGAGACAGGAGAGGTCTACCTCACCATGTGGGTTTCTTCCTGGCCGGGTGGGGATCAAACTCGTGCTGCAGAGGCTGTAGATTGCTTCATAGTGCAGTGCTCAGCCCCTTGTGCCACCAGGGAGGCCCCTATTTATGATATAATTTTATCTTTATCTCCTTAAAACTATAAATTGTCATTGTAAAGATGGTTATTTTATAGTATGTATTTTTCCTAACCAATAATGAGGTTCTCTCTGTTACTGAAACTATCTAAAAAACATGTATCATCATAAAATTTACTTAGAGATGCACGTGTGCTATTACCATTTAATTTGTTTACTTTTCATAGAAGTTTATGAATTAAAGGAACTACCATGATACCATTCCATTTTGTATATTAGCCTTGCTTCATTGTAGAGTGTCAGAATTTAAAGAGCACCTTAATATATGAAACACAGCTTTCAAACTGGGAAGGAGTCACTCTGCATATATATTACAGTTTTCTCAGTTATCACTTTTCTTTGACATCAGTGGTGAGAATTGACTCGATGTATTTTACATTATATAAGAATTTTATCTATCAGCCAAGGGAAATGAAGGAAGGGTTTTTTGATTTGTCAGATGTGATGAGTTATCAAGTGGTGTTTCTGTAGGCTATTTATCATAGCCTGCAGAAAGCCATTATTTTATACAGATAGATGTATACTCATCCAATTTCATAAATTCTAACAACTCACATGTGGAACCACTATGCTTGTACCAAAATGATTTATTTCTTATCATACCTGAATATGTGTATTTGGTTAGTCTACTAGTTGTAAAATAGAGTTCACATTTAAGCATCCAATTAAAGGTTATGAATTTTTTTCTTTTCCAGAATAATTTTTATTATTGTTTTCTTTGAAATAGGAGCAGGGTCTGTTCCTCAGAAAAGACAGTGCCAATCAAGGCTATATCCGGAAAATTTACCTGCATGATGCCACCACAGCAGAGGTAATTTATTTTAAAGAATGCCTACTCAGTTTTTTAGCTGAAAGATTTTTTTTTAAAGGGATCTGTTAAAATTAATGATATACATTGCTCTGCAAAGACTTTTCAGTTGTAACTTTTAATTGTTGTGCAAGTTTAAATAATATACTGTGGTCTTAGTAGGGCAGAGGGTTTATTCTGCATTGCATCTATGGACTCTTTTCTTATCCTTAGCTAATGAACCTGCTTGCAGAGCTCCAACTCTTGTTTTTGTGCCTTTCTTCTCCTCCAAAGAAGCCTGTACTTGTCTTTACAATTTATAGTAAATGTTTTATTTTACAGAAAGCTTATCATGCCATTGAGGATGCGCAGTCAATGAGACACCAGCAAAAACTGATGAAGCAATCATCCCTGAAACTTCTCAGGCCCCAAATACCCTTTTAAAAATCACAGATCCAGGGGGCTGCTACTGGGAGAAAAAGCAATCATCAGTCTTGTCTATATATCACTTTTCTTTATCTTGCAAAAGAGAATTTTGCAAGCATTCCTTTAGTTTTTAGAATTTTTTTTGTAGAATACCTAGTATTGTTTTTCATTTTTTTTCTCTTTACTTTTGACTATAATTTTGTAACTATGTTAGCAGTCCACTTTTACACTGCCATCTTGAATGAGTCAGATCCTCAAACACCACTTTAAACTCAGAGTGAAATTTCCATTAATGTTAAAATTGTGAAGCAAAGGACAATTGGTTTGTTTTTAATTAAAGTCTTTATTGCAGAATAAGGAAGGAACTTAGAATGACTGGTGTTCTTTGAGAGTTTATAGGCATGGACAAATGCTGAATATTTAAAAGTAATTTGTTCAATAATTGAACCAAGATAACATTTTTGGTAAACCAGGTCATAGACTGAAGAAAAAGCCAGTAGAGAGAGAAATGTTGTTTCTTCTTTTCTCTCCAAAAAAGTTGTTTTCTCCTAATAAAAATATGCTTCACATTGGTGCTTATTTTTTCTTCTTGCACTATAAATAATAGAAAGACACCTCTGTTCTCTGTAATATAACATTCACAAAGTTTTGAAAATTATTTACTTGCTCTTTGAAAATGCACTTATATGGCACAATTATAATTTGCTGATACATGAAAATATTGCACTTTAAGTTTTTCAAGACACAGAAATATGAAAAATTCAATATTTTTATATTTCTAGAAATCATTTTTTATGCCTTGAAAGATTTTTAAGGGTATCTTAACACTTACTGGGTACCTAGAAATGTATTCTAAATACTTATTAGGAAGAAGAAAAGTCTCTAGTTGTTTTATATATATAAGTAAAATAAGGCATATATAACAATACTTTGGAAAATAATTAGTAGATGTGATTTTTGAGAAAGCAGGCCTATGAGAATCATTTCTATGCAGTATTATTTTTGTCTTTTATGCATCTTGCCTATGTTGATCAGATATATATTGCCTATTAAAACTTTGTTTAAAATGCTAAAAGTTCAGTTTCCTTGGTAAATTTTTAAGTTTGCTCATGGTTTTTAACATGGCATTTATTTCAAATCACTGAATTATGCAATGAAGATGTGGAGACATTTGGTTTATATTGTTTTGTTATTGTGTGATAATGTTTCTACTATCTTTATTCATGTTTTATAAGATGGACCTTAAAATTTTTAAAAATTTTCCTAGTTATTATTTAATATAGACTCATAAATATTTCATCTCTGATGTAGGATGGTGGTCACTGCCTTTTCATCATTTTTTTTTCTGTGAAGAAAAGTATCATATATAAAACTTCTAGCTTTAAACAGAACTTCTTTATCAGTGGTTAGAGTTTATTAAAAGAAGCCTTTTAACAGAATTTCATAGCAAGTATGCTGGTATTTTATGTCTTTGAAATTGACTTAATCAGGAATTTGAGATATCTGATTATATTTTCATGTGAATCACAGCTATTGACATGGTCCTAAATATTTACAAAATTATATTTTACTGATGGTGTGTGCAAAGCATTGAACTAAGAAAAAATAATTTATAGAAACCTATAAATTTGTCAACTCAGTTGGCTTAAAAATAAACTTTCAGACTATAAAATTTTAATTTGATTGAACCCCCTGGGACAGAAATAATTCACTGATAAAGTATAACGTCTTATGTGTTTTAAAAAATGTTTTGAAAGTGTATCACTTGCATATGAACTACCGAGAGAAATAAAATATTTGGTGCATTATTTACAGCCGTGAAAACTTTGTGGATTTATGTTAAATACTGAAATGACATTTGCTTTTACTTTGATGTCTTCCCTTTTTCCTCTTCCTATCCTGTTACAGTGAGAAGTTAATAGTTATGGAGGTTGTTAAAAGATGGGTTAAGAGGTTTTTCCTGGTGTCCTAGATCCTACTGCATATATGTGGCACAATCTGCAGTACTGGGGGAGTATAGAGAATGAATTTGACCAAAGGCCCAGCTGCAACACTTTGAAATCCATGACTGCGTTTACTCTGAGGTCATGACTTCCATGCTTTCTGTCAGTCACTGACTGGCAAGGATAGTAGGGCAACCCCATTCCTGGGAGATATGAGCTCATCTGTTAGCCAACTTTGATTTGAAAATTCTTCACAGCTTCCAGGATCTTTCTTAGACTACATAGCAGTCTGGGAGACTTCTGCCTTGTCTGCCTCTCTGTCTCTGTCTCTCTCTTTTTCTGTGTCCTCCTTCACTGGAAGATCAAACATTAAGTCTGAAGCCTCCTCCAATATTAGATTATCCAATAGAAAGACTAGGTGCACCCAAGGACTGTAGCAAAACAAATGAAAAAATTGGAAGAAGAGTATACCAAAGCTTCATAGGAAAAGTCCAAATTGGATGGTCTTTTTTACATGTGTATCGATCCAGTGCTGCCTGAATCTGTAATATTAGCAGTGCTCCCACGTGTATTTTTTTAATTATTTTTTTTACATCGTTGTTCATTTTTAAACAATATTTGCTTTCCCCCACCCCCTCAGGTGTAGTCCCCATGGAATTTCTTTCTCCAATGCACCTGTGCACCATCACCACAGCCCCTGTTCCCCTCCCTCCCTCTAATCCCTCTCCCTCCTCCTTCCCTGCAGTATATCTCTGACTTATAATTGTCTGTTTTTGCTTTGTTGTGTTTTGTACTGTTATTATTTTTTTACACTGATGTCTTATTGGGGTCCCCTATATTCCTACTAAAAGTGAAACCATCTGATTTTTTTTTTCCTTCTGGCTTATTTCACTGAACATAATTCCTTTTAGCTCCATCCACGTTGCTGCAAATGGCATGAGTTTTTCTTTTTTGATTGTTGAATAATATTCCATTGTGTATATATATCACATCTTCTTGATCCAGTCATCTATTTGGGGGCATTTGGGTTGGTTTTACCTATTGTAAATAGTACTGCAATAAACATAGGGGTGCAGGTGTTATTTGAATCAATGTTTTTGTGTCCTTTGGGTAGATCCCTAGGAGTGGAATTGCTGGGTCATATGGAAGCTCCATTTTTAGTAGACTGAGGAACCTCCAGACAGCTTTCCATAGTGCTTGGACCAGTTTGCACTCCCACCAGCAATGCAGGAGAGTTCCTTTTTCACCAAATCCTTGCCAACGTTTGTTGTTGCTAGTTTTTTTAATATGTGCCATTCTTACTGGTGTAAGGTGGTATCTCAATGTAGTTTTAATTTGCATTTCCCTGATGATAAGGGATGTTGAACATTTTTTCATATGCCTTTTGGCCATTTACATTTCCTCTTTGGAGAAATGTCTTAAGTTCTTCTGCCCATTTCTTGACTGAATTGTTTATTTTTGTTAAGTCCTGTGAGTTCTTTGTATATCTTTGTGATCAGTCCCTTATCAGTTGCATGGAGTGCAAAAGTTTTTTCCCAATCAGTGGGGTGTCTCTCTGTTGTGGTTAATGTCTCTTCTGCTGTGCAGAAGCTTTTCAGTTTGATGTAATCCCAGGTGTTTATCTTTTCCTTGACTTTCTTTGCTTTGGGTGATGAGTGTTTAAAAATGTCACTGAAATGTATGTCTTGTAGTGTTTTACCTATATTTTCTTCTATATATTTTATGGTTTCAGGTCTTATGTCCAGGTCTTTTATCCATTTTGAGTTGATTTTTGTGTATGGTGAGAGGTGGTGGTCTAGTTTCATTTTTTTGCATGTCCCACGTGTATTTCTAAGGAACAGCTAGGACTAAAAATTAATGCGCTGGACTTAAAAATAATCAAATTCTTGAAGAGCCCCATAAACTTAATACCAGTAAAATACAGTTTTCCAATTACTGCCATAACTAGAAGGAACATCTTTTTATTGGGGAGAAAATCAGTATAGGAGATTACTCATATCAGAATTTTCTCTCTTTGAGGGACAAACTCTTTCGGTGGGGAAACACTGCCAGTATGTCCAGTAGTACTGATCAAAGGGGTTTTATGCCCTGTATGTGTTGGCTCTGAAAAGAAATTGAAACTCAGTGGGGCAGAGGGAGCATATTTCTCTTGGTAATTGTGCCTATAGTGGAAGAATTTAGCCTTATTGTTCTTGAATTCGTGCTTGAAAGTATATTCAGTTACAAGAGTAAATAATTCAAATATTCAACATTGTGCATCTCTTTGAACAAAAAAGTCATTAGATAGGCTCTGTGTTGGCCTTATTTAAAAAAATTTTAACCATCCCTGTTTATTTTTTTGTAATATAGGGTTTCCCCGTCAGGTGTAGTCACCCTGATTTTCCTACCACCAAAGTGCCCACAATCTGCTTTGTGTTTGTATTGTTTCAACACACTAGAAACCCAGTCCTTCACCAAAAATGAAAACAAAAAGATTTTTCATAAGTTTGTAACAGGTCTTTGACAGCAAAATCTGTACTGAAATAACATAAGGCTATTCATGGCCTTTATTCTATTTGGTGTAAATGAGTTTGACTGCAGCAAAATGAATATGTTCTATTATGGGTGCTGTTCCAGCCTTCATTGCAGATGTGTGAGCTATGTGGTATGTGAAGCATACCGACTTTCTAAAATTTGAAAAGTTATATATTCCAACACACATCTGGTCTCAAAGGGTTCAGATAAGACACCATAGATATGTATACTGCTAAAATTATCAATTTATCAAAGTTTTTTACTGAATTTTAGAAAAATGATGAACTGTAGGAGAAACCATGAGGAACAAAAGAAGTTTCTTCCTCTTAAGACCCTGCTAATAAATATTCCATTTTACACTTATTCTGGCAAAATATTTTGATAAAGTGGTCAAAGGAATTGACATTAACATATAGGAAACTGAAATGTTGTCGAATGTCATTAAGATTTATGAGAACTCATAGCAGGAATTTAGAAAACCTAAATAACGGACCAGGAAAAAGACTAATTAATACAAAGTAAAAATCAAAATCAACAAGCAACTATGGACCAGAGACACATTGCAGCGGGGGGGGGGGGGGGGCAGGGTTTGAGGAAGGATTAGGGTCAAAATAAGGGGGGTGCAATTGTATGGGGAATATAACCAAAATGAAAATGCATACATTGTGCAAAAATGAAAAATGATGTAAGAATTATATAAAATAAAATATTAAAAAAAGATTTATGAGAACTCTCTAGGAAAATATATGAGCAGAAAAAGCCAGTTATGGTTTTTATTCCCTTTGCATTTTAATTAATAAAATACTGGTGGATGAAAGATTTTTTTTTTTTTTTGTGGGACCCTCGCTGGTGACCGGGGATCGAACTGGCAATGCAGAGGCTGCAGGCAGCCTCGCAACCCAGCGCTCAACCACTGTGCCACCAGGGGAGGCCCTGGATGAAAGATTTTTATAATTGACCTCTAAGTGAGAAAATAATTAGAGTAGTAATGACGTAAGCCACCATGATCTTCTAGGTTGATAGTATCCACTTTGACAATGAACATTTTACAAAGAGGAGTTAGAATTCTTCCTGACTTGAAGAATGACAACATGACTTCCCCCAAAATTGAGTGTAATACTTAGTTTCCTAGTTGTGGTGTCAATTCCATGATAAATAATTTTCAGTAAAAGTAGATTTCAGATCTTGGTTTTTGGGTTTATTTTTATAAAAAACATTTACCTTACATAATACCAGTTTTCCCCCCTCAGACTTTTCTCTTTTGTCATCTTCTTTATTAAGACTGCCTTCTTTATACATGTATCGTACCACCCTATTCATCAGGTAGCTTTATTAAATAGGTATTATACCACTGGTTGAAAAACTATAGCCCATCAAGGCCAAATGATCTTGTTGTAGGTAGAGTTTCATGGGACCACAGCCACACCCATTCATTTGTGTTGAGTATGGCTGTCCCTGCAGTATAATGGCAGAGCCGGATAAACATAGGAGTATTTATTATTGCACCCTTTACTGAAAAAGTTTATCAATCTCTGTATTATACACCATATAATCAATCTTAACATATGTGACAGAAACAAGATATCAAATAATTTACCCAATATCTGATGGTGAGCTAAGAGCTGAAATTAGGATCTAACATCTACCATATCTTTTTTTCTTATCTCCAGCTCCAACTTTTCCTGTGAACAAAGATACTTGTGTCCATTTTGAATGAATACGACCAATGTTGATTTCTTGGATTTCTTTTAGAATCTCATATGCGTATGCTAAGATTTTCTGTTTATTTTCTCCTCATCTATGTTTTAGGCCTAACAGTGGACACAAACATTTCCCATAATAGCACTTGAAAAATAAACCGCCCTTAGGTGTAAAGAATTTCTTTTCTTATAGAGCTCATATGTATGGTCCAATATTACTGTGGTAGCTTACAAGCAAACATAGTTTTTGAGTGTAAAAATCAGGAAATAAAAACTTAGTACACAAAACTTGCCTCTATTTCTAATGCTCAGTCAGAACCAAAAATCAAATGCCTGAGATTCTACCATGATCAAACCATTAGAGTTCTGATGCTAAAAGCAGGAAGAAAAAATGCCCAGGATCCATACTTTAACACAACTTGTAAAGGGCTCACCAAGGAAGACATCGTATTTTTAAAGCACAGTACATCATATTATAGAGTAATAATGTAATAAATGAGCAGGTGTTCAAAAATTGCATTTTGAATGGAAGCCATAACATTTTAGCTGCACCAGAGGATGCTGTTGCAACTCAGTTCAGCAAGCACTTATTGATGGTTTAAATTAAGAAACCACACTTGAACAGGACACATTTCCCCTCCCTATAGAGTGCTGTTAGAGATTCTTAACCTACTTTGACACATCTGATCAAACCCTTCCTAC